ACTGCACGAGGCGGGGGCGTGGCGGGCGGCGCGCCGTACCCCCCTCCGGCGGCGGCGCGATGGTGCGGGCCGGCCGGGGAGTTGTGAGCTCTGGGTTTGAACCGGCCAACTTCTCCAGCGGTCGGGGGCGAGCGCCAGGGCGGCGGCGAGGGCGAGTGAGTGCGGCCGGGTGGGGCGGCGGCCAGGCACCCCGGCCGCTCGGGATTGGGCCTCCGATCTGGCCCCGGCAACCCAGGGGAGGGTCCCCCTGGCGAAAGCGGGACGGGGTGCCCTGGGAGCCTCCGACCCAGCTAGGGTACCGAGCCCGGGCGAGTCTGGAGGCGGGCGAGTCCGCCCAGGCTGCCGAGATTTGCCGCGGGCGCGCTTGCCGGGGGCGCGAGCGAGGGCCTCTGCGGGCTCCAGCGACCCCTCCCCCCAGGCGCCCACTCCCCTACCCTCCCAACAAAGGGGGCTTCTCCGCTCCACATGTCATCTCCTCCCTCCTCCTGGCCATCTTTTCGCCTCTCTCTTCTGGCAGGATCTCCAACGCCTGTATGGTAGCTTCCGGAGCCAGATGCCCTCCGGGCCAGCTCCCCCAGTGGGGCTCCGGGGAGCTCTCGCCCCGCCCCCTTCGGCGCGGGGGCCCCAGGGAGGGGCGGAGCAGCCCTTCCTTAGGGAATGCAAACCTTCCCACTGGGTGCCCGGGCCCTGCATGGTGGCTGGGCCTCTGCAAACACGCCGCCCTGCGGGGAGCGCGGTGGGAAAAAGCTCCTCCCAGGTCCCGCTCCCCTGCACGCACGGCCCTCACACGCTGCTCTCTTTTCCTGGTTTCCACCCGCGCCAGGTGATGCGCAGAGCTGAAACCATGGTCCATCAGGTGCTCTACCGGGCGCTGGTCTCCACCAAGTGGCTGGCGGAGTCGGTTCGGGCTGGCAAGCTGGGGCCTGGCCTGCGGGTGCTGGACGCGTCCTGGTACTCACCGGGCACCCGCGAGGCCCGCAAGGAGTACCTAGAGCGCCATGTGCCCGGCGCCTCCTTCTTTGATATAGAGGAGTGCCGGAACGCGGCGTCGCCCTA